TTTATTTTTTAGTTTAATTATGTAGCCTGTCAAAACAAATATATTTTACTTATTTACTACCTCTGTAGGTTGTTTGAAAGTATAAATATAGCAGCTTTATTATAAAACACTTCTAGTCAATATCGATGACATAAATTTATATAATACTGACTTGAATTCCGAATGTCTTAAATTTGGATCCCAAAAATAATGGGACACCTTTAAAATAAATAAAGTACTGGTAACTGTTTATGAAATTTCAGTAAATATTGTTTAAGTATTTAAACAAAAATTATTTGAAAAAACAAAGTTTGTGGTTAGTTATTAATGAATTTAGACGATGAGCACTTTAGACTTTGGAATCCTCAGTCCACCCGCTCGCTGTCCGCGATCTCAAATATAATTGAACTTTATATATTAGATATATTAATACTTTAAGAGTGGTAATATAGATTTTTTAAATAAACTCAAGATTTTTCAGCTAGGGGACGCCTAACTTTCTTTGCAGTGTCCTCCGGCCGGAATCGAAATCATCTAATTTACGATAATCTCGACTACTCGATATATTCAAACTCTACTACATTAACAACAGTTATCAAAATTCGATACTTAAACATATCTAGACTCAAGGCTACAGAACTATGACACTTAAGTTCAATTAGCCGTACCAACGATACTCCCAATCAACAACGATTTAACTGGACCTTCTAATACTCGATAACGGTCAACACACTTCGATACATTAACACCGCATGGCTCGATACTCCAGAACTCCAGAACTAAGATACTTCATCACCTACATTTTCATTTCTCTACTACCAATCAGATTCCACTAGACCTACAACTACACGACAACAGCCAAATAAAAAATACGACACTTTGAACACCCCGTCATGACAAAACTATTTACACCAGAACATATTTCTAATTCAAAGTCAGAGTAAACGAGACTTACAAGCCCTATTAAAAACTAAAAATACACGTGTTTTGGAACGCCCCATCATGCGTTGGAGCGATCGTTAAATCAACATAAAAATTAGATAACAGTTTGAAATGTTCCAAAATTACGGACACATTTAATCGTATTCTACATCAATTATGTGACACAAAAAACAGAGGCAAAGTCACTGGTAAAAAGTGCACCGACCGCTCCAAATTTGGGAGGTGGGAGTGCATTTTCACCAACGCAAATAACTGTCGGCCTATATAGGGCTAATTTGGGGGTGGGGCGCAAAATTGATAATTCGTCCTTTGTGCCAAAATAGATCGCTACGCCTTTGTATATTACTATCTATAGTTTATAAAAGATAATCCATGTTATTAATTATTATGTACTTTAAGATAATGGCGAATACACATTTTCGCCCCCCCCCCCCCCCTAGAGATTTTGCCCTAGGCGACTACCTAGTTCGCCTGATAGGTAGCGCCGGCCCTGTTTGGAAGCTATTATTGATATAATAGAAATTTAAAAACATCATTAAAATGCATTCAGACCGCTATCACTCAGTGTAATTATTTCTCCTAAGTATCGTTCTTAAAATCTATCGAGTATTATACTGGACCACCCTGTTTGCCTTTGGAAAACGGCTTGTTGTCTAAAATATCAACACAAACTAAATCTCCTTTACCCTTCATTTTTACACCAATTCTCAAAACAAACGAACTACCTACAGTATATATGTTTTTTCTTTACATTTTCTGTCCACAAAAGAATAATATAAATATACCCCTTCCACACTGTGCACAAGTTTTTGCTAAAGTGGTTACATTTGGACCTCCCCTTTTCACGTCAGCGTGTGCGTCCTAAACGAATAAGCCCTTTATATTGTTAAAATTATTTCTCTTTAAATTTTTTTTCATTTTTCTAATTAAACGATAACCCAGTCCCTTTTATGACTGCACTCTTGTCGACTGCACTACTTCGAACATCATGCATGAACTATTTTTTATGAACTATTTATTGTTATGCTTGTTAGAAAGAAAACAACATTATTTAATTCAAACTATGTGATATAATTTGTTTGGTACAAACGAAAAACACTTTTAAAGTTAACCGAAACATCTGGCCTTAAACAAATTTAAGTTAGCTTGGTTAGATGACACTATATAGCACTTACGGACACAATTGTAGAGCAGACTTTTATGAAACACTTTTGTAACTTATTTTTATTTTTAGATGGACGGATCTGTTCTTACTTGTTTAAGGAAAAGATTCCTGACAATTTTAATTGCTGCATTGACACTATCGTTCGTTCTGATCTACCTCTGGAATACAAATAATTTCTCCTTTCCACAATTTTCTGACTTTGTTGGGAGAAAATTTTCGAATGATTCCAGCGCCGAGACCATCATGGCGTGTGTATTTCCAGAACTGGATGTTTATAACCCAAGCATCCTTAAATTATCTGGATTAAACTACAAACCTATCAAGTGTGACAAATATCCTCCAGATATAACATACCTCAAGAAAAACCAGATTTTAGTGAATGTTTCAAGAATCACGGCAGGCTTCGTATCGTGTAAATACCGAGAAATTTACAAGCATCCAACGGATGACAATGATGCAAAGTTTGGAGACTGGAGTGAGTCTTTCAACACGAGCATCATATTGTCAGAAACAGAGGAATTTTTGTTGGTTGAGTGTCAAAACATCAGCTCTAATACCACGTCTAAAATATACCATGCACTGATCCCTCGACGTGAAGATTTTTCAAAAGTCAAACTTAAAAAACGACTCAAAATGTTTCAACCTAAAGAAACGCTGAACGTTGTAATGATTGGAATGGACGGTGTTTCTAGATATCAATATATGAGATCTATGAATCTGACGTATAATTTTTTGATGAAAGAGCTAAATTCTTTTGATATGACAATGTACACACAAATAGGTATCAACACATTTCCAAATTTGTTACCGTTACTAACAGGTTATAATGCAACAGAGGTGGGAGAATGGTGGGATAAATCAACAACGAACGATCAGTTTGATTTGATATGGGATGATTACAGAAAAGCTGGTTACAAAACCCTGTACACAGAAGACCAGCCATCGATCGGAAGTTTCCACTACCATAAGAAAGGTTTTCAAGCCCCACCAACCTTATACTACAATCACCCAGTGTGTATTGCCATGGAGAAAGATAAAGAATTCAGACGTTTTGGGTATAACTGTGCCGGAAGTCAACCGGAAATAAATTTCCATTTGAATTACGTGCAGCGTTTACTCGATACATATCCCGACTCGCCGATTTTCGCTCTTTTATTTCATAATACATTAACTCATAATGACATGACAAAGTCAAAGATGGTGGACGAGCACACGTTTGAATTTTACAACACGTTGCGAAAGAAAGGTTATTTAAATAATACTTTACTAATCACATTCTCTGACCACGGGCCAAGGTGGGGTCCAATACGCTCAACATTACACGGCATGGTGGAGAGTCGGGCACCATACGCCATCTTAACTTTTCCAAAGTGGTTTCTTGATAAATACCCGGATGTGGAAACGAATTTAAAAACAAACACAAAACGTTTGACCACGCATTATGACGTCCATGCTACGTTACAAGACTTGTTGTATTTTAAAGCGAGTGGTATCGTCCCACTCACACCAAGAAAACACGGCACCAGTCTGTTTAATGTTATACCAGAATCTCGCACGTGTGAAGACATCCCAATCTCAATGGAGTTTTGTCTGTGCAATCAGGCACAATTGAACAAAGTGACATTTAGCTTCAACACAACAACAAAATTCGGAGAAGTGATAGTTAAAAAAATCAACGGCAAGAGAAATGCAAAAATGTGCGTGGAATTAAAACTTGAAAAGGTTCTGCAGATCGTAAAAATAACATTACCCCATGTATCCAAACAAGATTATCATTTGTACAAAGTTAAAATAGAAACAGCCCCAGGAAAAGCTATTTATGAAGGTACAGTGTACACGGCTAAAGACGATAAAGAAAGTTTAGTCCAACACTTGGGCGATTACCTGGCCAAGGGCAACACAAAAAATATAAGAATGGGGGAGAGTGTTGATAGGTTCACGTTTTACGCTGGGCAGGCGGACTGTGAGGAAGACGCAACGGTTAAACCGTACTGTTATTGTAAAAATCTGGCCAAATCCTGACAAATTGTTCTCATATTCCTGAACGAAAATAACAATTTATTCTTACCTTCACTTATCTTTGTAAAAGTGGAAATGGTATGTTGGGTTTAAACAGTTGAAGTGCTTGTTTTTTAGGTTTCGAAATTTGAATTTTTAAAATGAATAGTTTTTATCGTATAATTTTTGAAGCATGCTTTGCTTGTGTTAAAATGTGTTGCTAAATAAATGCAATAGCTAACAATTTGTATTTGTATTTGACAGTTTCAATGTAATGAAAAATGTTATATTTTTTAAGACAATTTTTAGCGCAATTTCCATTCTGGAGAATTGCGTTTATTAACCCGTCATTTCTGGATGTATGAATGTATGAATGAATGGATGGATGTGTGTCCGCAGCTTTAAGTCGTATCTCCTCCTCAACGAAGCAATATCGAGGACTAGTTCCAAAAGCAATTATGTTAAGCAAGTTACGAGGATGAACATAGGCCATAAAAATTCCAGGTTTCTTTCATGGATTTCCCGGAAAAGCCAAAAAACCTCGAAAAATGCCGTTTTTGGCCCATATCTCGGCAACCAGACCACTTAGCGACCTGAAACATTTACCAATCGAGTCCTGCCATAATTTAGAACAATATTGCCGAAGAAAGTTTTCAAAAATATCCTTTCGTTCGCTCACAAAAAATTTTTTGAATTAATTAAAATTTGGACCGAATTAGTAGGCATGTTTATCCAACCACACCACACGCGTCATCACGTTCAATAGCTGCGCCATCACGTTCAATGGCTGCGCCATCACGTTCGGTAGCTAGGCGCGCATTGGTTTTTAGTCATGTAACTCTATTGTAAATAAAACATGTAAAATACTGAAAAAAAATATAATAAAAAACGTTTTAATAACTAACCAATGGTTTTACTAACCCTGCTCTTGGAGGCAGCTATGACACAAGCAGCTGTGAAACTGGTGATAAATGTGAACAAGTAGAAAGTGTCTGAGATTACCATGTTTAAAATTGTTATAGAACAAACAGTGAAACCTCTGTTATCATTGCATACAACATACAGTAGAGCAGGGGTTCCCAACCCCGTGCCCGCGGGCGCCATGGCGCCCGCCGAACGATTCGTATGTGCCCGCCTCTCACTATTCGACAGAGACAGAATTTTTTACATAAACATTATTGAAAGGTTGAAGGGGATGGAAATCAAAAGTTTGAGGGGAGAGGGGTGCAAATCGAAAATTTGAGGGGGGGGGGGGGTGCAAATCGAAAATTTGAGAGGGGGGGGTGCAAATCGAAAGTTTTGTCCCCGGGTGACGGGAAGGGTTGCTACGCCTCTGGAAGGAGTTTGTCGATTTAAAATAGGTGGTGCCCGCCACCCTATCGATATTTTAGAATGTGCTCTAGAGTCAAAAAAGGTTGGGAACCCCTGCAGTAGAGCATCCTCTATCATTAATAATGCATCCTTCGAAATCCGAAAACTGATAAAATCTTGAGGTAAGTATGTTCATATAAGTCAATTAAAATATAAATAGCTCGAATAACACATTACACAAACAAATACATAATTTGCTTGTATTTTTATGAATAAAATAAGTAGAAAATAATATAAAATGAACAGAAAAGACTATACATGAAGTAAGTAAATGCATTACATTGTTTTCAAATAAAAGCATAAGTAAAGTAAGGTTATGTTAGGAGAAGTAATTGCAGATATTGTCATGAACAGTAGTTTCCACTTATTATGACTTCAGTATTAATACATTTTTATTTTAAACAATGTATGCACTTAAACACACTGTAATGGACAATAGAACTAGATACAACATCAAGGCAGTTGACAGACTCCCTGGCAGTAGGATGTTGATAGCACCTATCTATTTATGATTCCAGCACTATCTATTTATGATTCAGTAATCATTATACGTAACTGTATTATTATTAGCAATGGGAACACAACAAAAAGATTGAGAAACATTGTACTGCTAAACAGTGAGACTGAATGAGAAAATAAAACACTGCTGGGAAATTCACAAGCCAAACATAAAATAATCAAAACTTGAAGCCTGGGTATGTGTCATGTAAATTAAATCAGAAGAGACAAAAACCAAGACTTATGTACTACATATAATCTTGAGTTTTTATGTTGATTTTTATCATATTAAACATACCCAAATCACATAAGAAAAAATAAACTAAACAGCACCTGGTTTTTAGTACAAAAAGCAGTCAAAAATAATTAGCAAAGGAGTGAAATATTGCTGCTGCTATGAAGAAATCAAAATATGAACTACAATACAAGACACCATCCTCATCTCAAACAGATCTACTTCCTCCCAGACAGCGACCTCTTCAGTAGCTGTCAATGTTTCCTCTGTTGATTGTCTTAGTTGCCATCAGTGTCTGATTCTTGGGGTGGCAGTAGCTCAACAAGACAGGAAGGTGCAGCAGGAGTGATATGCTTTTCTCTGGCAGACAAGAAGAACAGAACACTCGTCAATGGTGATTTATACATTCAGATACTAAGAAGTTATTAAAGAAAAATTTTAAATCACATTTTTTAATATTATCACAATAAAAAGAAAGTTAAAACAGGTAAAGTATTTGAGGAGACATTTTGCAATACCTGTTAACTAATTTTTTGAAAAATATGAATTTTTTTTTGTTTAAAGTTTTATTAAAGTATTATTCACTTTTTTGTTCTAAAAAGCCATACTGAAATAAAAATCTTATATAAGATAAAAATTGAAAATACTGCAAAATAAATATTTTTTTAGTGAAAAAAAAATGGCCAAATACTGGTCCCTATACACCCCACTCAAGGAAAAACTATATGGGGCACCCACAGATCTGGAGACCACAGTCCAGTTCATACAAGAAGTTGGACTTGTTGGTTTAATCCTCAACCATAAACTAAATTAAGAACCCAGAAGAAGACAAAGAAGATACTAAAAAATTAGAAAATTTTAATATCAGCTAAATAGGATATGTTTTCAAATTCATTATGCAGAAAATCAATCTGAAATGACTAAGCAAGTGTTGCAAGTGGACTCCTTACTTATGTTATTTAGAAAAACAGGACAAAATGACATAAAACAGCATCTATCGAGTGACATAGTTACCATGTATGTGTCCACTAATGTCAATCCACTTGTTTAGATATTGAGCTTTCTCTTGTTTGCTTAAACCACTGGGGTTTAACCCTCTCCAGTAACATGCCTGAGAACAAAGATACAACCAGTTTAAGGTTTTATCTCGTCAGACATATAAAATAATACAGTAACATGCCTGAGAACAAAGATATAACCAGTTTAAGGTTTGATCTGGTCAGACAAATAAAATAATACAGTAACATGCCTGAGAACAAAGATACAACCAGTTTAAGGTTTTATCTGGTCAGACATATAAAATAATACAGTAACATGCCTGAGAACAAAGATACAACCAGTTTAAGGTTTTATTTGGTCAGACATATAAAACAATACAGTAACATGCCTGAGAACAAAGATACAACCAGTTTAAGGTTTGATCTGGTCAGACATATAAAATAATACAGTAACATGCCTGAGAACAAAGATACAACCAGTTTAAGGTTTTATCTGGTCAGACATATAAAATAATACAGTAACATGCCTGAGAACAAAGATACAACCAGTTTAAGGTTTTATCTGGTCAGACATATAAAACAATACAGGAATTCCTTGGGGCAAGTGAAGTAGAGTTCAACAATTTCTGGGTAGTTTGGTCACCACTATAAATAATCTTTCTAGAATATACTAACGTGAGTCAGGTACCCATCAGAGTTGGGTGGAATCAGGGATGTTCTATGGATTTGAACCCAGATTTGAACTCAAGGCTTTTGGTTTAGCAGCCATATTATCCTCTACCATTGTACTACGCCGTCCCATTAAGTGATATTTTTTTTTTAAAAAAAGGCCATCCAGCTGATAAATAATATCAAGATGATCATCCAAAATAAGCAAAGGAAATGACATACAACAGCATATTTTTTGTGCTGTATTTGCATGAAGTCATGAGGTTGCCAAATGTTAATGTCACAAAAAATCTCATGTTTTGCTTCTGGACTTTGATCTTCAAATGTCTGCTATGACTGACTAGTGCCAAGGAAAGTAAACACATATGGGCATGACAATGGAAACAAAATCCCACCTAATTTTGGGGTACTAAGAAATTTTGACACATTTTCTCTGGATGTTAAAAAAAAATTCCCGATAGAAAAGAAATTTTTTTAAAAATAAGCCATTTGGATTTAAAGTTAAAACTTTAAAAATATTGACATCATGTTCCTTGCCTCTAAAAACAACTTAATTACATCATACATGTAAAATCAGCAGTATTAAAATAAACCATGGAGAATAAAGGCTCTATTGTAAATCAAATATTGCTGCATAAATAAATAATGATAGTACCTTGTCCAATTCTTCTTCCTCCATTATATCAATACCTTCCCTCTGCATGGCTTTATCAATGAAGTGTAAAAACAGAGCATCTTTGATCAACTTTTTCCTCCTGACTGAGAGTCCTAGAGATTTGCTTAGATGTCTCTAAAAAATAAATTATAATGTAATGGTCATAAAAACATTTTAACAGTTTTAACAATAGTGACACAAAGCATAGTTGAAATCAACAAAAAATAACAATAAAAAATATGTTTTTTTTTGTAAAAGTAATCTACTTGATTTGTCCAATTTGTAATGAACCTACTGAATGTCTTATAGATAGGCATTCCATGTTGAATGGCTTCCCTTCAAACAGTGGCAAAGTCTCTAGGATTTCTGCATTAGACAACACAACTTTGGAATCCAACTGCAAAAGTGTAATAAGTAACATAATAAATAAGATTGTTGGGTAGTTATGTACAGATTTCTTGTATATTCCATGATAACAATAAGGGGGATGGCATTCCAAAATCATCGAATTATAGACAAGTTTCTTATTATTTTTTGACAATTGAATATTTACTTTCTGGTATCAGTAGTGTAACACTGCATCAGTAGGGATGTGTTGTGATATTACCCACTGAGGTGTAGTGTTTTTAAGGGCTGACCCGAGAGGTAACACACAAATGATCAATAATGCTTTTGCTGATAGATCCTGGCTTTATTGCATATACTGCAAATCGGTATACAGCAAATCCATGTAGATTAAATCCATACACGGCATATAGTCCTTCATTACGTAACCAGGTTGAGAAATGGAACGATCCGTGTCATCCGCAGCCTGGGGTTTGAATGCCATGGACATAGGTACAGCTACCCAGAGGTCACATGACATGGGAACACAGGGAACATCGCTCACAGAAGAGCATATAAAATACATCAACAGTTGCTGACCCACAGGGGCCGCAACCAAATAAATTACAAAATATCCCCCCATGGTATGTGTTACAGAAGTATAGAAGAATTGATTGTAATCGTGCAAAAAATCGATAAAATAAAAATCAAGTGGGCAAGGACTATTAACTAATGTATAGGGTGAATTTACAAATTACTACATTTAAACTAAACCTAGAAGGCAAACTGAGATCTCTTCTTTAGTTCAACTCAACTTTAGCCAGTTTGCATTTTTCAGATAAGTAAAAAACATCATTATTGCCTCTCTAAAAAGCACTTAACTTATTCATAATTTTGAAAACTTGTGAAGGATTTAATAGACAACAATAAAAAGTGACAAAAAGATGTTTAATTAAGTTAATTACATCAGGGGAGCTTGGAAAATGTTTGCAATAACATTTGAAGAAATAGGCAGTAGGTGGGGAGGGAAGGGGAGGAGGGGGGGAAAGGGAGGCGTTCTGGCAATATTTTGGCACAAACAATTAAAGATCAAAATAGAAGGTGGATATAAATCAGCCTATTATTTTGACAGGCGTGAAGTGAATATTTTGGCCCAAACAATCAAAGAACACAATACATAATGGAAATAGATCAGTAAATTATTTTGACAGGAATTAAAATGAATATTTTGGCCCAAACACAATACATGTTGGAAATAGATCAGGTAATTATTTTCAGGGTTCATGCTCAAAAGTTCAAATAAAATTCCAGGAGTTTTCCAGGACTTTTCCAGGAGTTTAAAACAAAATTCAAGGAGATTTTAAAAACAAAAAAGAAACCCAATTTGTACATTTTTTAAAAAAAAGCGTACTTAATAATACATTTAATTAGCTAAGCCAATGCAAAAATTTAATTTCAGTAAAAGTAAAACAATATATTAGTTACATATTAGGACAGAGGCTATAAATCTGACTACAGACCAGTTTGAATTTTCAAAATCTGACCATAAACAAAAAAGTTATGATTTTTTTTTGTCATTAAAAAAAATAGCACATTTTTCAGACAACCGGGATAGACCCTGAAAGAGGAAAAATACTGGGAGGGTATGGACCAAATTTTAAAGAATAAAGAGTTTTTCACTATAAAAGAGGTATAAATGCAAGCAGACTTCACCAATTAATATCATTTCGTGATATTTTATTGATTTTTGGATGCCAAATCCAATGATGCTAGGCTAGTCGGGCAACCCGATGAACGAATATTACGTAATTTCAGAGACAAAAGTCTGGCAAGATTTCTTGATCTATGCCCAAGGATTAGTAACATCAACTCCACAAAGTGAAGGGGGAAGGGAGATGGGGTATGAAACCACCGCACGAGTGTTACACAACATCAAAGGCGACGATCGTCGGCTTTTCACGTCACGGAGTAGTGGGGCGGGTTGAGCTATGGATGTTACGTTGGGTGTTACATACCGTGTAGGATGGTCAGTGTCTTCCCCCACCCACCCCAGCCCATTTTGGTCGATTTGGCAAGCTAGTATTAAGCGTATTAACAATTTTTAGTCAACCGAAAAAAAAAGAGCCACTGGAAATTTATTTTATTTTCTATGGCCATTTTTACGAAAAATGAAACGTTACGCGAATCAGCATTGTTTGATCGGGTCGCAGCTATCCGGGTTTTCTACAGAAGATTAATTTTGACGATTAGTCCTGAGCCGTAAATACTACTACAACTTGTTTTTGCTGTTTCAATAGTTTAAGACAAAGTTATGAAACATGCCTGTCTACTTTAAAAATCCAAAAGCCGACAAGTCAAACACGGGAACACATGTAGGCCTATCTATCTTTAGAAATTGTTTATAGTATCATCCAATCGGGTCAATCGCCTAGCGTCACGTGACCACACACTCGGCTGTGCTACACGATGTGTAGATCACGGCAGTGCGATTCAGTCGGACGACGGCCGATGCGTTTATTTTTATTTTCGTCCCATTTAAAAACTACTATTCAATTATTGGCGGAACAAAATCAAATAATTTCGGTCGGGTTTTGCGCCGCGGGTTAATAAAATTTCATGAGATTTTAGGAGAATTTTTAAAATTTCAGGAGAATTCCAGGAGGTTTTGATATTTTTTCAAATTCCAGGAGAATTCCAGGAGATTTTTACGTTTTTTTAAATTCCAGGAGTTTTCCAGGACCTCCTGGAATTTCAGGAGGCCGCACGAACCCTGTATTTTGACATGAATTAAATGAATATTTTGGCCCAATTAATCCAAGAACACAATACATGGTGGAAATAGAATAGGAATAAAATAAACAACCTTGCTAATAAGTTTCCTGACATTCTCAGCAGATGGTTTGTGTTCTATGTGCTGGCTAAGCAGGTGCATGTAGTCTAAAACACCGTCGTAGTGCTTCAGCTGTTTCCTGATGGCTAGGGTTCGAAACTCCACCTTCTGCTGTGGTGTCCAGAAGTGTTGGGACAGAAGATAACGAGGAAATACATAGCTGTAATCAATGAAAAGAGCAATAAGCTATGAACATAACTAATGCAGATATTTTGAAACTCATCTTCACATTACCTTTAAAATCATAATTTAAATAAAAATTCCTAGAAAAATTATTTCGAAATACTCGACAAACGATATGAAAAACAAAAAATTAATAGTTTATATATGTTTATGACAGTTTCCAGATTTTTAACTGTCCAACATAAAACTTACGCAAGTGGGAAAATGGCTGCACCTCCAGGTGCAAAAACTATCACAAAAATTAAACCCACAACTGGCAGATCTGTAGAAAACTGAAAGAGGTGAAAATTTTAAATAACACATTTAGTTTTAACTGTCTGCTAGGGTTCACCCATTCATGACGGCCTCACAGTGGGGTGCCGCGCAAGAAAAAATTAGTTGTTTTCAAAAATATTAAATCGTACATTATATTAGCAATTAATAATTTAGCAAGGTACACATTAAATGTTAATGCATTAGTAGTTTTGCAGCATGTTTTGAGAGGTCTACTAAATTTTTGAGGACATCAACACTTAGGGGGGGGGGGGAGGGGGGAGTTGTCAAAAGAGGACGCGTATAGACAGGGAGGAGGGGTATAAAATTCCAAATTTACGTGGACATCATAAATTGATGACCCCTTACAGTATATGAATTAATAATAAGATTCAGAACAAAAAATTAATACAAACTTCAATACAATGAGGTAATACTAAGATTCAGAAACAATGTGTACAAAGTTTAATAAAATACAGCAATATTTTAAGTTATGGTTTAAAATATATGGCATAGTTTTTAAGGGAATGAAATGAATAAAAATTGTTTGCTTTAATTACTTCCCTTGGACTTTGATAGTAAAGCTTACAGTGCATTGATTTACATAAAATTTCTTTTAGGAAAACTCAGTAGCTTGATAATTTTAAAATGAGTATAAAATTTAAAAACCAAGCGATTATAATGGGGATGACAATATAAATATAGCAATTTGAATAAATTGTTTAGACCTACTTGTCTGTAAAGTTCTAAATCTTTCCTGGAAAAATTCTCCAGACTTTCTCCAGACCAAAGCCTTGTTGAGATCTTGTAATAGCTTTTTGTGTCGGACACAAACCCTGACACACCTGTAAACACCAACACCAGTTTTACACAGAGCTTATCCCTAAAACAGCTAACGTCAAACTCATTTTTGGATGATGTTAACTAATTTGAATTTTATATAAATTAGATTTAATTTTGTTCATAAAGTAATGAAGTACATTTAAAAATGCTTTATAACACTTAACAACTAGTGAAACATACATATTTAAAAAAATAATTGTAATAAAACAAGAAATGCTTAATATATCTAAAAATATTAAAAAAAACAATTTATGAACTGTACAGTATAGGCCTACTAATGTCACAAATCTTATTCTCATAAATCTTATACAGTTACTAACTGTAGAGTAAGGTTTGAGACATCAGTATTTGTTTTTAACTTAGAAACTAGGCAATCCTGAACTTAGTTCTATGGTCTATAAAAAAATATGTTCATGATCTTAAAAAGCCAAAGTATTTTTCTAAGTAACAGCTTGGAATAATGACCATTGTGGTTTACTACTAAAAGAGCTAGCTATCTTTATCAAAGAGATGTGTTAAAAGAAATACCTGTTTTAAATGTTCTATAGACTTGAAAGACACTTGGTATTCTCTTCTCCAGCTGATCAGAAGAGTTGGTTATAAAATTTACTAGTTTGTCTAGCAGAAATCTTCGCAGGCGTGCTGGAGGTTTAACTTTGTCTTCTGACTGCTGTGTACTGTAGTACTTGCTGCATCTATCCATTAAAGAAAATATTAACGCAGATTATAGTTCAGTGAATCTAAATAGAATAAATGTATGTGTTTGTGAGAGTATGATCAAAATGATTCTTAAATTATAAATGTTATTTTTTATAAAATACTAACACTATAAACCTTAATTTTTTGCTATAATCTAGTATTACTAAAGTGTGCAATACATATTATCAATGTTAGGTGATCTGTGTAAATTAATGTAATTAAAAATTAAGCTATCATTAGAAATTAGTTGATATTATAAAAGTAAACTTTATTTTGTGTATTAATGAATGAGAAACCATCGCAGTCAATTACAATGTCCTTTGCAAGTAGCACTGTGATTGTGACTAAAATAGTCAATAATAGAGATTTATAATTGTAATGCCAGTAATGCCTTATTATATATACTGTATACTCAATGTTATCGCAAATGTTATCAATAAATTAAAAATTAAACAAGAAAGTGACATTGAATAGTTGCTGTAATTCCATGTGCATCCGATCAATTGAGGAATCGAATAAATTTCATTAAATTTTTTGTGCGTTATTTACGCAAAGGTTAGGCCTACATAAAGTTGTATTTTATTTATTCTTGTTTGCAACATGATCCCATTTATAATTAATAAACAGAGAAAAAGATAAAGGTCATGTGTCCTAGAATATTTCAAGCAAATCTAAGCCAAAAATAGAGAAATTACTGCCTAAAGATTAGACTTAGTAGGCCTAGCTAGATTAGTGTAATTATGGCTTGGCCCTAGAGTAGAGGATTTTAATTTTCCAAGGCATTTGATGGATTATAATTCTTAATTTAGGCTAATAATTATAAATGATTAGGCCTAAATCAGCACTTTTTTCTTCTTAGTTTAAAATGGTTAGGCCTAGATCTATTTGAATTTATATGGTTGTATTGACCTATTTCTTGAAAAAGAAAAGAGACCCCAATTGGCTAATATAAATAAATAGCCTAATTCCCAGCCAAGGTGGTAGTTAATTGAATACAGTTCAAAATAAGTAATTACAATATTTATATATCTGCAATATCTGCTTATTTAGGCTGTCATTAGAACAGTAATCTATCGTTTTAGGTGCATAAAATCACCCGAGGCTAGTAGTATTGTTCGAAAAAGTTGCTTCATTGTAAAGGCTTTAATATAGGTATATTGTGATAGATGCGTGTCAAATATTATAGATAACTGAACAATAAACCAAAAACATATCAATACAGGCCAGAAATGAACTTTTAACAGCAGTGTTTGCAAGTAAGTAAGATTTGCTATATAAAACAACTGTAAATTACAGTGGTTTCCCCTGAATCTAGCACTATAATTTTACCAAAAAAACTTAAACTTAAACAAGATGGCTGCTTAAGAAATGAGCTTGGTTGCATCTGATGAAAACATCGCTAGTCTTTATTTATTAGGCCTACTGGAAAGTTTTAATTAACTTTTAATACAATTGTTTAAAAATGGTTCATGAATGAAACTTTGAAACATTTTTGTAACTTTCAAAACATAAATCTTACTAAAAATGAGAAATGAGTCAACAATTTTTTTTCACATTATATCTAGAGTAACTCTGCCTGGCCCGACTATGCGCCTCGAAACGAACAACTCCGTAACTCTCACTTTGAATACTAATTGCACTGTTATTTGAATATTTTATACAGAAACATTATCTAATTGGTAGTAAATATGTCCATTTATTATAAGTCCATTTACATCAAACTTTGATCCATTGAATTACCCACAGTGGGATATGAGCAATTAAAAGCAACCCGTCATGTAGGCGGCCATTTTTATGTTGCCGGAACAAGCAAAGCCTCCTCCCGACTTAGCGTCTTTTTAAAACAATGTTTATTTTTTTTCAGAAAAAATTAACTTAAATTGAATGGGATAGGCTACAGAACATATATGTTTATAGAAAATGCTATTTTCTTTACTAAATACATTTTTTTGGGGGTAGTCGTAAGGAGGATCAAAATTTACGTGTTTTGCCTGGAAACGATTACCCATAGTAAACCATAACACAAGCATTTTATTGGGAAGAGTTATCTCCCCTATTATTTTTTTTCCATTGTTATAAAATATATTATTTTTGGCATTTAAAAACAAATACACACTAAAACACAAAACTAAACACATAAAATATTAATAGTACAAGATTATTTATTCAACTGAGCTGAAAAAAACATCAATATGACTTAGTCGGATGGAGGAAAGACCAGTCGTTTGGAGGCAAAACCAGGAAAATCGTATTCGTGTCCAGGACGACTGAGTCGTCTGTTTCGGGGGCATTTATTTAAAAGTTATATTGCAAATGGAAAAAAAGGGAATACATATTTTTATTCTTCTTTGGCTGGAGAGTATTTCTATGCTTTGGTTTTCATTCTATGTCAAATAGTAACAAAATTAGGTGTCTCGAACCGGAAAGGAGTCTCAGTTTCGGGCTAAGGGTGTTCGGAGCTGGTAATGTTACTCTAGATGGCCGATTTTGCATAGATCTAGATTTCTAGATCTAGCTAGACTACCTAAACACAATAGTTGATGATAATGATAGATTACCAAAAATTTAAAAAGTCACCTTTTTTTCACATTATTTTAACTAGATCTAGATTTAGATCTCTAGTCTCGGCTGATTTTACATACCTAAAATGATACATTACCCATCATTAGAACATAAGAAGGGACACTGGACACCAACGAGAATAGTCTCACTCAAATCTCAAAAATAGTCGAAAGTCAATCGAAAGAGTCGACACTGACTCAATCAGCTCAGACTCTGACTCAAGAGTCAAGTCAAGTTGACAGAAGACCCATAAATCATAAATATTTTTTAACAGATTTATTAGGCCTAAGCAATAAAATAAAGAACAACATGTAACCTCGAGCATATCACTGGTGATAAATTTTCCGGATTAAACTTTAAGCTCGAAAAAATCGGCCACAATCTGGTTCCTCCTCTTCTGACATGATATAATGATTTGACTGTTATGTTATTGCTCATGAGCGCTGCCATATTGTCCTAGGTAAAGTGTTACCGATTTTGGTTTTCGCATTTAAACAATTATAATTATAAATGATATTTTTAATTTTTAAATTATTTTCTTTTACTTTGTAACGATATATATTTAGATCTAAATCTTAATGACCAGCAGTGGCGTCGCTAGGTCGGGTATCACCCGTGCGGAACTGCGTATATAGGCCTATATATATATATATATATATATATATATATATATATATATATATATATATATATATATAGCCTATATATATATATATATATATATATATATATATATATATATATATTATATATATATATATATATATATATATATATATATATATATATATATATATATATCTACGTGTATGTGTGTGTGTCGGCCTACATAGGCCTGTAATATAAGTATATCCCACATTCCCGTAAATGTATGTGTATAAGCTTTAATCACTTCAGACTTAATAGTAATGATGATTATTTATAGTCTGTTAATAAAACAGTTGGATGAAGCAATATTTTTTCTATAGTTTGCACGTTTACGTCAGGTGTCATCCCCACACCCCCCCCCCCCCCCCTTCTTGTAATAGTTGTCGATTTGTACATAAAAGCCTATTTAACTTTAATCAATCATTAATGGAACTGGCTAAAAAACATTTTTCTTCTGTACATTTTGCCATTTTTTGCCCTGGTGTCACCCCCTTAAATGGTGTCACCCCGTGCGGCCAGCACCTCCATGTCCCCCTCGCTACGCCTGTGATGACCAGTGTTAATATAATTATTAAATAAATGCAACAAAAGTAACCAGTTATTATTATTTTTTTGATAATAAGCCAAGACAATTTTCTTTGATTGTGACCCTCCCCCCCCCCCCCACACACACCTAAACCTCTCTAAAATCCTAATGGCGTCTTACCTATGAACTATGCATTATCATTAGGCTGTTATTATTGTTGAAAATTTTAAAATTTACTAAAGAAACTTAAATAATAAGTTTCATAAAGGGATCTATATGAAATCATTGAGCAAAGACAAGAATATAAAAAAATAATAATATAGAAATATTTAGAAACGACCAAAGTAATAATTTAATTGAAAATGAGTTTTTTTTTCTATAATGTTTTTAAGTATTATTAAAGATCTAGTAGCTATCAATTTAGATTTAGCTGAAGCTTGCAGCAAAATACCCATGAGCGTCAAATGAATAATTAAAAAAAAAAGATAGCCTCACTTCTTCACCTCACACAAACAGCCTTGCTGCTAATTTTAAAAATAACACCCTCTCTATATCCTAGATTCCCTAGATCTACATCTTTAGTGCCAATCATTTGGTTTCGTATCTACTACCTGTAGGACATTTAGTGGGCGTGGTGTGGGGGTGTTGGGGAAAGGTAACCTGGGTTTCTTTCAGCAAACATTTTTCTCTTGGAGGGGCCACCTAAAAATTCCGTGGGTGGGGGTGGTGGAGGGCGAACACTGGTTAAAAAAATACTAGCATATGAAGTGATAGTGTGGTCAGTACTATGCCCACCCGCCTTAGTTTTAACTAACGTGAGTTAGGTACCCAACAGAGCTTATAGTACTCAGGGACATTCTACTGCATTGAACACGGTTTCGAACTAGAGACTTTCAGAATATCAGTCTAGCTCTCTTCCGCTAGGCCAAACCGTCTTATATCAAAATAAATAGGGCCTACATAAATATTTTTCCCCGAAGGGGGGGGGGGTCTCCGAGAGAAACACTAGTCACATTTGTAGATCTTTCATTCTAAAGGTACACACTACTTTCATTATCTAGACCAGTTTCCTACTTTTAGTCGCTAAGTCTCAATCATGCAGATAGTGTTTTTTCAGACTATTTTTCTCCGGGTGAGGGTAGGTGGTTCTTAATTTTTTTTTTCTTTTTTGCGAGGGGGGGGGGGGGCGTACTAAATTCTCGGGGGAAGAGGGGGGGATAACACTGATAAAAGAATATTTTTTCTGTATATATTGTATTTCGTTCCGGGGGGAGGGGGGCGGTAGACGTTCTTCGGAATTCGTCTGTGCTGGTGAAAAAATATTAAGAAGGGTTTGGTGAATGCGCATATGAAACTGATGGGGTTAGGAACCTCCAAAACGGGAACCACTGGTCTAGAGAGATAAAAAAACAACTGATGTCACAACTAAGTTACTTATTAAGAATTGTAGTGAAGTGTTGTATTTGTACATGCTTGCCTGCATGTTGGGTCTACGTCGGGTGTGGCGTGAAGTTAGCTAAGTGCGCCTTATCGGGTAATATCAGTACTTGATACTGTATGTGCAGATGTACGCAAAAAAAATTCCCACATGAGATATTGTTTCACGTATTGCACGCGTGTTTGTGAGTTGAGCTCTTGCCCGCATGTGTGAGCTGTGTTGAAAAAGAAAGTTCTTTACTGTGTAGTTGAGCGTGTTAGCATGCGTGCGCATTTGTGAGTGTATGTATGTGTGTGTCTGTGTGTGTCTGTGTGTGTGTGTGTGTCTGCCTGTCTGTGTGTGAGTGTATGTGTGTGTGTGTAAAAGAGAGATTGAGACTGGCTATATGTACATATGTTCGTGTTTGCGTCTGTTGGTGTGCGTGCATCTTTCATACATTGCAAGTATGTGCGTGAGATCTTGCCTGCATGTGTGACTGCATGTGTTTGAGTGAAAGTACGCACAAGCGCATAAATGAACAGCATTGTTTATCTATAACGTATTAGCTGTTTAAATTGCTGTTTACATCAGACAAAGATCAAATATTAATTATTTGAGCTTATTAATTGATTTTCACAGCTATTTGAAAACAATATGCTATATATTTTAAAGGAATTTATCTTTCATCTTTTTTTGTGTGGTCTAAGTCAGTCTTTGGTCATGTTAAACTCGATTATAGAGATGGCTATAGTTTTCCAGTTAGAATGCCGGTGGACCGCAGAGTATGGCAAGATAAATTCCTCTACAACACTTTGCAAATATAAGATCCAGTTGTTGAGAGGAACAGCTTGACTGACATTCCCGCTTTGCTTTTATAGATATAGACATACACACTCAATCAAAGTAAATTTATTAAACGCCGTATTTATCAGAGTATTTTGTTGTAAGAAAAAAAAACACAATACTATATTACACACAAAAGACAACACTATTAAACAGTATATTTTATTACATTTATTTTACCTTTTTGAAAATATTTTTTTTTTTAATTAAAAAGGCTAAATAGATTTTTTTTTTCATAACGGCGTATCAAGTTTATTTCAGATCTTTTATAAGTCTTTGCAGGGGTTACGGTGATTTTGTCGCCGAGCAGCAGCGCAGCTTTTCTATACAAGACAGGGTATCACAGCCTCCACGATACAGGCCCACAACGAAGGTCTCCGGCCCACACCCACAACAACCCGAGTGGTCAAAACAATCCGTGATGTCTTGGACATAACAATGACCGTACGACGGTGGGTGATTTAACGGTTTGGTGCACCGGCCCTCCTCGATGTTCCCAAGGTATGAATTCGTATTTGTCCTGTAGAGGCCGGTGAGGAAATACCCAGCTGGACACAGAGACCATGTGTGGTTCTGGTTCAAAGAGCTCCACCAATTTGCATGAAAGTAGTCGTGGCCTTCCGTCCAGGGCTCCGGTTTCGAGCAGCATTGAACCGAGTCCAGACTTTCGATAGCGTCCGACAGCGTGCGTGCGTCGATCCGGCACAGCTTTCTGATGAGGTCACCTTGTCTATCGCACTCGGACAGTCCGGCCTGGTTGAAGATGTGATCCCAGAACACGACGGTACAGTCACAGTAGACACCGGCAACAAGGACCAGTACAGCTGGTGATTGGAATATGATGGAGTTCCTCATGTCTACAGCAATTTAGTACGTACAGGCCAGAAACTACTAAAGAGGTATAATTTATAATGAGAAAATAACAAATATAATATTATATAAAAAACAGAAAAGAAACCACTGAAGATATATAATTAAAATAAGAAAATAACAAATATATTATTATATTTAAAAAAATATCTCCTTCATTTAGAAAACAAAATAGACTTCATTTATTGCTATAGTTTTGAACAATCTATGCAATGTAACAGGAATTCTGAAGTATGCTATTAGCGGAGGTATCACTATTTCAAACTTATTTCACGTATGCCCAAAGAATCAAAATGCTGATTATCACATAATAATACGAATACGAGAGCATACTGCAAATCATTTATTAAAAGTTTAAAATGGACACCAGCGAGAAAAGTCTCAAAGGTATTTAAGAGGTCCATAAATTAATTTAAAAATCATGCACAGCGTAGTTACAATTAATATGGTTATAAAATCCTGTCTGTCTGGTTTTTTTCGGACTTTACTAAAGATTGGATGTATTTGATGTTTTTAATATTTTAGGTAACTAAACAAAAATAAAAAAAAGCAAAAACAATTTGGTTTTCACGTGTGATGGCGACATAAACAATGGCATCCTGCTATTGGATAGGCCGCCATAAATTTTATTGTACACATTGTAAGCTAAAAATAGAAAACTAGGTCATGGGGTTTTAAATTTGCATTGTTATTTAAAAACTTGATCTGCAAAGTATTGTAAACAAATAGTTATCGATCACTAAGTTACTGTACAGCCAATCAATATTTGTCTAACGAAAGTGAAACATCCGGTTATAACTTAGGCTTGATGAAAATAAATAGAAATGTAGCCTTAAACTCAACAAATTATTTTCAAGTTCTCTGGATTTGCAACTTTTATAGCATTTATTCTAAAAAAATAAAATTTCTAAATTAATTTTAGGCTTACGTTTTTATTTTTTATTTTTTTTACGGTCTAAATCTAAAAAAGCACGTTTTTATTCCATGTCAACAACATTATGGAAGGAATCTCGACAATTCGCTGGTGTCCATTATGCTATGCACGAAATACCATCTAAAGACAAAGTTTTATAAAATTGTGCAACTTTATATCATACATTTTGCTCTGTCACATGACTATGTTACGGCTTTTCTTTAAGGATACTTCGCAG